AAGTTTTTCGAAAACACATCACAGTCGCATGACACATAGAACTTTCGTATGTCCTAGCAACGTGCTTTAATGAGCTTACCTCTGCAGCATTTATAACCTATCTAAACTTCTTAAATGATATATAAGTTAAGTACTTTCAAGACAAATATGCACGATACAACATGTATCATTGATGTTTAGCAAAAAACAATATAGTTTTTTTATCTCATTGCATTACAATGTTGTGTTATATATTCCCCTATCTTAAAAAATTATTGACTAGTGAGCCATTGAATATGATGTGATATTCACCGGCAGAAAATTATATTTTTAAAAATTTGTCATCTGCTAGTGAATATCACATCACTAGTCAATAATTGTACAAGTAAAATGGTTTCCTGCGGGGAACATTTTTAATGATATAAAGATATTTCATTTAATTATTTTCAACATTGTTTGGGGGGAATAAATAAACGTTTGTATATAGTTGGAATATAGTTGCCGATAACCCACCGATCAATAATAGTAGGAAGGTCTTCGGAAACTTGGTGACCGTTGATGACCGGGAGAGGTCGAACATAAAAAAATTATTTTCTTTTTATAAAAATGATTAAATAGGCTACCATTTTATGAATTATTCCGAGCAAAAAAAAGTAAACCACACAAGCATTTTACGCAGAAAATATCTCTATTCATAATGGGCAGATGGCACTTCGAATATTTCAATTTTGTAGATTTTCAGTATATACAATTTATTGTTTGTAAAATTGAAGATACATATTAAAGAAACATTAAATAATTTTGTCAAACACATATTCAAGTGTTCCACCTTAAACGGTAAAATAATTATGGCATATTAAAAATATCGCGTACGTAATTTTTTTTGTTCTTAATTGGTTCTTTAAACATATTTATTTAAGCTCGAAATTACGTGTCACTCTAATTCCCTAGAGGTAAGTCCGTAACGTACCGGCAAACGGTATTTAGTCAGGTTTGCGAAAAGGTCAATTAACCAATCATGTACGGTTAACAGATCACATGCTCCTCCATGTACCGAAAATAGGTCACGTGCTCCTCCATGCCTCAAAAGTAAAACGCGTACCAATACCCTGCGGTCTCCAGACCGCAGGGAATAATGTTATATTGTATTGTCGACGCAACTGAAATTGCCAGTACTGCTTTGTTTATACATATTTTACAAAAACACCTATTTGTTTATGTTGTTCAGTTCAATTTGTGATATAAATTGTAAAACAAGATTGGATATCAATGTTTAGTACACAGAGATCATTTCAAGATGAATTGTTTGTGTACATATAGGAGTTAACCATACATGATCGTAAATCAATGACATATTGCCTTCGGAGGAAGTCTTTGAAGAACTGTTCGAGCTAAATACAACAAAAATGAACGGAAATATCTCTGATATACTAACATGTTTATGTTGAGCACTATATTTAAGTACATTAAAACATTTAAAAATAATATAATTTTAAAATGAAGTAACGTGTTACATGTAAATGAAACATTTTTAACAAAGGTAACGTCATATTTATTGGAGCATAATTATTATTGTTGTAATATTTATACAAACCGAAGAAAGGTTTTACTCTGGGCAATAGCCTGGTCCATTGTTGATATTTGTCTATAATGTTTCCCAGGTCACAGATAACAAATGGGTCATCACTCCCCTGTAGCCAGAAATATACAAAATTTATAATTCTTACAGTATCATAGTCTTTATTATTTTATACTTTTATATCATTTCTATCCTGAAAACGATTAGCAATTGAATTATTCATTCTATCTTATATTTGTATTTTATATAGTACAGCACATGTACATTTCTATAATCGTCTATGCACCTTTGTTTTATCGCTTTATAAGGAATCTTTTTAAAGGGACTTCACAGAGCTCTTTTTGACATGACAAGACTGGAAATAAGTTTCTGATATTGATGTTCCATTTGATATAAGCTTGACAAATAATCTGTGCGTAAAATTTCAAATCTCTCACTCTGTTTTTCCAGAACAATTATTCTAATTGTGAAAAAATGGCCCAAAATTTAAAAGCGTTGCAACGCTTTTCACTCAAATCGTGCAAATAATAGCACAAACATACGATTTCCAATTTATTTCTGACTATAATTTCTCATTATCATTTGCATATCTTTCAGTTTTAAGTGCCCCTGCTGATCTTTGTAAGAAATTAAAGTTTTATGATATAAGGTTTTTGTACCTTAGTGGAGTCCCTTTAAATATAACAAATGTATTAGCAAGTCTTGATCGTAATAATGCAATGAATTACCGTTTGTTTTGAGAAATTGACTTGTTCTTGAACCAGTTCCCGCGTTGATTTATGTCTGTGTACTAATTCGACAACCTCTTTGTTGAGTGTGGTAGTCATTTTCTAGAAAATAGTTATTTTATATGTAGTTTGGATGAAGTGATATAATTTCAAGTTCTTTCACAAAATTTATTAATTTATAATGAATTGCATGTACTGTATATGACAAGATGATATGACCAGTATAATATGCCAAATATACAATAATATGTTAAAACTCTACACAGAGGCTTATGTGTGTTTTATAACTGCATATAACATTAAACATCGTAAGAACCTGACAGATACCGCATGACATCAATATTGCATGAAATTCGTTCAAACTAAAAATATTTGAAATTTATTCTAAATGAGATTTTGATTGTAAATAATTTAATAACTATTTCCAATGTGTATAATATACTCGTTGTTGAAATCATATTACAATTCAATATTCTGCTCAGACTTAAGTGTATACTAAAACACAGGGTCAAATGTATTTAACTATAGATGACATTATCCTACTACTGACCTGTGTAACATCATTTCATATAGATAGTGTAGACAATTTCATTATATAAGTCTATTCTCAACTATGTGATTTTTGTTGTCGTCAAAAATAATAAAATTGTTCCGAAAAATATCATTCTGACTAGCATAATTTATTTAATTGAATTGATTAATGTAAGTAAGATCAAACGTGATATTGAAATATACTGTCTAGTGATATATATCTCTTGCTAACATACAACTTTTAAAAGGTCAATATAAAAAAAAATATTTGAAAATTGTACTTACATTTTAACTCTCGTCTTTGAATTATTTTAGAACTGTATCCTATACGCACATATAACTATTTTATCATAAATAGGTTGTTTCTCCCCTCACGCGGGACTTTTACTGTCTATATTTAAACGTAACTTATACTTAACACAACTGAATATTAAATTTATTTTTGTCACGATTTTTTTTGTAATTGATATTGGTTATTTACCGCCCCCTTTTACAATTTTAGCCAAAATTTCGTGAATAGGTAAAGATTTGCTTACCAAGCCGAATCTGTTTGTAATAATTCATGCGGGGAATTAAGTCGCTTTATACGTAATAATATAAAATCCATTTAACTGGTGAAGATTACAGATCTAACTTTTATATATAATGCAAATGAAACGATATTATAAAACAGCCCGTAGCAGCTGAATATATGGATATCAAATGCCGTTTAAAATCACAGTGAACAATGACATGCTTCATATCAATTATGAGAATGATACTATTTTTTAACCCTTAACCTGTTGAAATTCTAAAATGGTTTTTTTCACCTTCCATATTTTGAAAAGTCCATTGTCATTATTGATGTACAGGTGATAACTGTCTGTGCCAGCAAGGTAAGTCTAAAGGTTACAAAGCCGCTATAGTTTTTAAACAAGAGCTGTCCGAGGAGCGACGCGCTCCACTTTCCTCAGTACTTGATATATGATAAAAGTAAAGTAGATTCTGATAAACTGTTTCGCAGAAATCTTTGCCATGATATTCAACAAGTTTTTCAAGTTTGAAGCGAATATTTGTGATGTTGTTTTTTTAGTAAATAATGAAAATATAAAATAAATAAATAAATAAATAAATGAAGATTTTTTTTCAGGATTTTCTCTCCTTAAGAAATGTATTCCAATTTTGTACTGTAAAAGTATTCCAAGTTTAAAGTTAATATCTTTGATATTTGTTTGAGAAAATAATCTTAACAAAAAGGTTAACCAGAGCAAAAAGATTTAAGTCAAAAAGGGGCATAACTTTGCAAAATATGACTAGGATAATCTGCCCTTTTGATATTGCATTACATAATGAAAGTGAGCAAGTGAACCAAGTTCACAGTGAATAACTTTCTGAGAAAATTGACCGAAAACCAATTACCTATTAAAGGTCATGCTGACCTTGAACTTTGATCTTTTGACCTCAAAATCAGTGTGACAAAACTCATCAAGGTGTATCCACATATGTAGTTTCAATGGTATGGGTTTATTAGTATTAAAGTTGATGGCCATAAACGAAAACTTGACCAAAAAGATAAAGCAACTGGGTGCACTATCGCACGGTCGCCATCGCACTTTCGCATTGTCGTCATGCACTGTCGTTTTGTCGTCATCGCACTGTCGCATTGTCGTCATCGCACTGTCGCATTGTCACCCTCTGGATCAGAAAGCATAACCACGATGGTCCTAACGGTATTCCGTAGTCATCACAATACCTCAACTTTTTTCTTATAAAGGTGGAGCTAAAAATGAAATCGATTATGTCTCTATCGTATACATGTATCTACATTTGAATATTATACTTACAGTGGCTTAATATAACTGCTTTAACTTCATTGTGACTTGAGGTGGGGGATGATACTGATATAATTATGAAAGAAAAGGATTAGGTCGAAATTTAGGTCAACTGATATTAAAGTTCAAAAGTTTGTATCTGTATCTTAATCTAAATACAAAAGAGTTTATCAAGATCTCGAAATTCATTGGCATGTTACGGTGCATATAGCCCAAATTTTATACAGCTCTGTAGCTTCAGTTACAAATAAGAAGATCGCTGTGTCATAATTAATCAACTGTTATCAAAAGTGTATTCTTCTTTTGAAACAAATATTGAATGAAAACTGTGTATATAGTCTAAAATTCAAAGCAATATTAAATTTTATAAATACCAAAAATAGGTGACTGGGTCAAATCCGTGTCAATTACATGTAATTGGCATATTGTCTAAATTTCAAGACACAACGATTTACATGTAATATACGGAATGCCGTTAGGGCCATTGCCTATGAATATGTTGATCTGAAACGCGATAGTCGATAGTACGATGGTGAAAACGCGAAATCACGAAACTACGATGGTGAAAACGCGAAAGCACGATGATGAAAACGCGAAAGTACGATGATGAAAACGCGACAGTACGATACTACGATGATGAAAACGCGATAATCTATCGTGTTTTCTACGGAATGCCGTTAGGGCCATTGCCTATGAATGTGTTGATCTGAAACGCGACAGTCGATAGTACGATGGTGAAAACGAGAAATCACGAAACTACGATGGTGAAAATGCGAAAGCACGATGATGAAAACGCGAAAGTACGATGATGAAAACGCGACAGTACGATACTACGATGATAAAAGCGCGATAAACTATCGTGTTTTCACCATCGTACTGTCGCGTTTTCACCATCGTAGTTTCGTGATTTCGCGTTTTCATCATCGTACTATCGCGTTTCACCATCGTACTATCGCGTTTTTCACCATCGTACTATTCGCGTTTTCATTCATCGTACTGTCGTGTTTTCATCATCATCGTACATCGCGTTTTCACATCGTACTGTCGTGATTGATCTGAAACGCGATACTCGACAGTACGATGATGAAAACGCGAAAATCACGAAACTACGATGGTGAAAACGCGACAGTACGATGGTGAAACCACGATATTTTATCGCGTTTCATCATCGTAGTATCGTATATTGGCGCGATTTCATTATCGTACTATCGCGTTTTCATCATCGTGCTTTCGCGTTTCCACCATCGTAGTTTCGTGATTTCGCGTTTTCACCATCGTACTATCGACTATCGCGTTTTAGATCAATACATTCATAGGCGATGGCCCTAACGGCATTCCGTAGTTTTCACCATCGTACTGTCGCGTTTTCACCATCGTAGTTTCGTGATTTCATCATCGTACCATCGCGTTTTCATCATCGTACTGTCGTGTTTTCATCATCGTACTATCGCGTTTTCACCATCGTACTATCGCGTTTTCATCATCGTACTGTCGTGTTTTCATCATCGTACTATCGCGTTTTCACCATCGTACTGTCGTGTTTTCATCATCGTACTATCGCGTTTTCATCATCGTACTATCGCGTTTTCATCATCGTACTATCGCATTTTCACCATCGTACTGTCGTGATTTCATCATCGTACTATCGCGTTTTCATCATCGTACTATCGCGTTTTCACCATCGTAGTTTTGTGATTTCGTGTTTTCATCATCGTACTATCGACTATCGCGTTTCAGATAAACACATTCATAGGCGATGGCCCTAACGGCATTCCGGAATGCCGTTAGGGCCATCGCCTATGAATGATTTGATCTGAAACGCGATACTCGACAGTACGATGATGAAAACGCGAAATCACGAAACTACGATGGTGAAAACGCGACAGTACGATGGTGAAAACACGATAGTTTATCGCGTTTTCATCATCGTATTATCGTACTGTCGCGTTTTCATCATCGTACTATCGCGTTTTCATCATCGTGCTTTCGCGCTTTCACCATCGTAGTTTCGTAATTTCGCGTTTTCACCATCGTACTATCGACTATCGCGTTTAAGATCAACACATTCATAGGCGATGGCCCTAACGGCATTCCGTAGTAATACACAAATTCAAAATCTAGGTTTCTGAAACTGTGGACTTAGTTCAAATTTAATAGCTGTAGCTCAAAGTACCAAAAAAATCAAGGCTGGGTAATTTCGAGAGAAAAAAGTTTTTTCACTAAATCCATGACTACTCGGGGATGTGCAAATTTTGAATACAGGACTATATATGATTTGAACATCCTTGGACTATAGGTTTATTAGACGATGCTTCTTGTCAAATATTGAAGCTATAGGCTTTGCAGTTTCAGGGAAGATTTTTTTCTATTAATTTATAATAATATAAATATATTATATCAAATTAAGAAAGAAATAAAAAATAAAAATAAAAAAAAACGTCAACACCAGTGCAGGTTAAGTAATTTATGTTATAATCTACCGTTTTCGGTTCTTAACAATTAAACCTTTACCAGGATAAATATTTTACAAAATTTTTGAGCAAAAGTGAAGAAAATAAGGATGTCTTTTATGTAACTATAAAAAGAAAATACTGGCATTGTGCAAACAACATTTTTAATGTTTTTAAATTGAATTTGTTGAGTCAAAAATCGTCCTGGTTGTTATAAGTCTGTGGTTTTGAAGATTCCACTTTATATAATCTTTTCATTTTCACTATTAAACATGGCAATTTCATCTTGGCAGATAGTTTCGGTAGAATGGCTTGGTGTGACGTGCAGAGGAGAGAATGTTTCCGGAAAATAAAAGCTGAGTTTGTCAATGTCGAAGTTCTTTGTAGTATAGTATAAACTGCTGATTTATTCATCTATTGTCTTTCCAGATACATGTACATTTTACAACAAAAAGGAGATATATTATATATAAATTATTTACTGTCACTTGGTATATGATAGCGGTCATGTTTTCTTGGTGATTCAACAAACATTTCATTTAATTATTTCATTTATTTATTTATTCTTGTTCTAGGTCGGAATCTCGCTTCTATCTTGGACAGAATATGTAAATATGTTGTTATTCTGTCCCAGCTTCTATTGCCAAAACACAAAATTACGGAATGCCGTTAGGGCCATTGCCTATGAATGTACGTGTTGATCTGAAACGCGACAGTCGATAGTACGATGGTGAAAACGCGAAATCACGAAACTACGATGATGAAAATGCGAAAGCACGATGATGAAAACGCGAAAGTACGATGATGAAAACGCGACAGTACGATACTACGATGATGAAAGCGCGATAAACTATCGTGTTTTCACCATCGTACTGTCGCGTTTTCACCATCGTAGTTTCGTGATTTCGCGTTTTCATCATCGTACTGTCGTGTTTTCATCATCGTACTATCGCGTTTTCACCATCGTACTATCGCGTTTTCACCATCGTACTATCGCGTTTTCATCATCGTACTGTCGTGTTTTCATCATCGTACTATCGCGTTTTCACCATCGTACTGTCGTGATTTCATCATCGTACTATCGCGTTTTCATCATCGTACTATCGCGTTTTCACCATCGTAGTTTCGTGATTTCGTGTTTTCACCATCGTACTATCGACTATCGCGTTTCAGATTAACACATTCATAGGCGATGGCCCTAACGGCATTCCGGAATGCCGTTAGGGCCATCGCCTATGAATGGTTTGATCTGAAACGCGATACTCGACAGTACGATGATGAAAACGCGAAATCACGAAACTACGATGGTGAAAACGCGACAGTACGATGGTGAAAACACGAAAGTTTATCGCGTTTTCATCATCGTAGTATCGTATTGTCGCGATTTCATTATCGTACTATCGCGTTTTCATCATCGTGCTTTCGCGTTTTCACCATCGTAGTTTCGTGATTTCGCGTTTTCACCATCGTACTATCGACTATCGCGTTTTAGATCAATACATTCATAGGCGATGGCCCTAACGGCATTCCGTACAAAATAGCACAATAATAGCCTTACAGTGTATTCGGAAACTTATTACACAGTTACCTCCCCTTTTTCAGACACCGCCATTTTATGACTGTAAATTTAGATCTTATGAATATTTTTAATGCTTGAATTATGCCATGTTGGCGGGATTTTTAACAGGTTTGTTTTGACAGTTTAAATCGTGACGAATGTGTTTTGATTTAATTTATACTGTCTTCACTCTAACACAGTTTTGGCACATATAAAACACTGAGAAAGTGCAGCAGTCTTCGTGCTATGAAATGTAAATAAAGTAGATTTTATGACTTTTGTAACATTCTATATGATGACCGAAAGGAAACTGTATGGCAAAGAACAGTATTCCATTTGAATATCAACGTTTAAGGATCATGAAGAATCAATACGTTAATTGAGTTAATAGTGTTAATTTCAATTATACTCGGTTCCTATGATATCAAGGGTTCTATGATATCAAGGTATTTAAATTTTCTGTGACTGCTAGTAAAAGCAACACTTGATGATGCTAATATTTGTAAAACTTGCACACTAGATTCATTTTCATCTGCCAATAAATTTAATGTGGTGAATAATGAATGTATTTTCAGCAAGAAAACTATTTTATAAAACCTTCATATTTGACTACCATTTTCCTTAATGACTTTTACACAGTCAATTAAAATATGTTATAAACACATATACTGACATATAGTCTGTTCATATAGTTTTTATTTTATAGCAAGTTAACTGTTGGAAAATTTTCACAACTTAACCTGAAAGTTTTGAAAATCTATTCTTCCATACTTGCTTTTTTGGGGATTACCTTGATACCATAGTAACCTCCTCTGAAATTACCCAAAATGGCAGACATTGAAAATATTCTAAAAAATGTCATTTTTATTGGTTCTTTTGAAATAATTTTTTGACAAACAGTTCTGGAAAAGGTTCAATTATAAGATGGAAGAAAAATCTCATTCATTTATGATATTTATATTTAAATATTTTCCGATAAACGTTAAGTACCGTGATATCATAGAACCCCGGGCTATGTTATGAATGACAAGACTTTATCAGATACTCAAGAAGAATTTGATCGGAAAAGAGTCAACTCGGCCCTATACCAACTCGGCACGGGTCAACTCGGCCCACTTTACAAAAATATATAGGCCTATAACGTATTTACTTTGCTTTGCATGTTGTGAAGGTAAATGAATAATAAGAAATATCTTATTATTATTATTTTATAATAATAAATTGTACCTCTGCTGAAATAAAGTATATTAAGAAAAAAAAGTTATTTATTTGTCTTGCAGATTCGATAAAATTAATATAGACACAGGCACAATTATCGAACCTGGGAAGAAAAAATATGAACAGATTGATAAAAATAACTTCATATTTTTTCTTCCCAGGTCCGATACTTGTGCCTGTGAATAAAGATATAATAAAAATGTGTTTCCTTAGATGCATTTTGTTTGTAAAGTAATTTTCAAAAAAATATGAAACAAAAACGTGTTTACTTAATAGCATAAGCTTCTAATTAATTGCAGGTGGTCACTAATCAAATTTGAATGAATGAGTCAATCATAATTATCACCTAATTAATCGGTTTTCTTTAACATACACATTGATTGATAATTATAGCCCATGACAATAGTAGTCCTTTGATGTCCTTTAATACCCATTTTTAAAAGTGGGCCGAGTTGACCCGTGCCGAGTTGGAATAGGGCCGAGCTGACTCGGGGGCCGAGTATATTTTAGGGCCGAGCTGACCCGGATTCCTTCATAACAGGCATGGCTGCCGTGTCTATTTCTAGTTATATACTGGGGTTTTCCTATATTTTAAACTTGCCATTCAAAAGTCATAGTTTCCTTGCTGATTATTTAAAGATTAATTTCAATTCACAACTTCAAAAAAATTTGAAACTCAATGTCCGGTAAATTGACTTGTCTACACAATTTTTTGTCTCTTAATAATTCCCTACTTTAAAGCCACATTTCTACGGTCAAATGTTTAATTTCATGTTTGATAAAGTAATGTTTGCTTGTACTTAGAACCCAAAATTATTTGGGTAAAATTCCATTCTTTTTATGCCACCGCAGCATCTGCGATGCGGTGGCATATAGCGATTCACCTGTGTGTGTGTGTGTGTGTTTGTTTGTGTGTGTGTGTGTTATATAGATTATATAGTGAACTTAAAAAATCTTCTTGTGAAAAACCACTAGTCCAATTTTAACCAAACTTGCCAGGATTGATCCTTGGGTGAAGGGCTTCCAAAGTTGTTCAAAGAATTTCATTCCATGCAGAAATCTGGTTGCCATGGCAACCGAAAGAAATTATAAGAATAAATTTAAAAAATCTTCTTGTAAAGACCCAAAAGGCCTAGAGCTTAGATATTTTGCATAAGGCATTGTCTGGTAGACCTCTACCAAGATTGTTCAAATTATAGCCCTGGGGTCAAAATCGGCCCCGCCCCAGGGGTCATTGATTTTCACTATATGTACATAAAGTAAAAACTAAAAATACCTTCTTGTAAAGACCCAAAAGGCCTAGAGCTTAGATATTTTGCATAAGGCATTGTCTGGTAGACCTCTACCAAGATTGTTTCAAATTATAGCCCTGGGGTCAAAATGGCCACGCCCCGGGGTCATTGATTTTCACTATATGTACATATAGTAAAAACTTAAAATACCTTCTTGTAAAGACCCAAAAGGGCTAGAGCTTAGATATTTTGCATAAGGCATTGTCTGGTAGACCTCCACCAAGATTGTTCAAATTATAGCCCTGGGGTCAAAATTTGGCCGCCCTGGGGGTCATGATTTTCACTGTATGTACATATAGTAATAACTTAAAATACCTTCTTGTAAAGACCCAAAAGGGCTAGAGCTTAGATATTTTGCATAAGGCATTGTCTGGTAGACCTCTACCCAGATTGTTCAAATTATAGCCCTGGGGTCAAAATCGGCCCCGCCCCGGGGGTCATTGGTTATCCTGATATGTTAAAACTTTAAAAAAAATCTTCTAGAAATTGACAAATGCTAGAGGTAAGATATTTTGCATGAAACATTGTGTAGTGAAGCTCTAGCAAGATTGTTCAAATTATAGCCCTGGGGTCAAAATTGGCCCTACCCCTAGGGGTCATTGATTTTCACTATGAACATAGAGTAAAAAATTAAAAAATCTTCTTATCTGAAGGTACAAGGCTTAAAGCTTTGATATTTGGTATATAATATCATCTTTGGGTCCTCTACTAAAGTTGTTTTAATTATGCCCATAGTGTTGAAATTGCCCTACCCCAGAGGTGCTAGATTTCCTTATATGTATAAAGTAAAAACTTGAAAAATCTTCTCTGAATTGACAAAGGCTAGAGTTTAAATATATGGCATGAGACTTTGCGAAGTGAACCTCTACCAAGATTGTTCAAATTTTAGCCCTGGGGTCAATATTGGTTCTGCCCCGGGGGTCATTGATTTACATTATGTATATCTAGTAAAAAAATAAAAAATATTTTTGTCTGAAGGTACAAGGCATAGAGCTTTCATGTTTGCTATATAATATCATTTATAGGTCCTCTACCAAAGTTATTCAAATTTTTCCCCTGGTGTCAAAACTGGCCCTGCCCGGGGGCATGATTCTCATTATGTACACATAGTAAAAACAGAAAATAAAACAAATGTTTTCTGAATGGGAGAAAGCTTCAGCTTAGATATTTGACTTGAAATGTTGTTTGGTGGACCTGTATCAAGATTGTTTTGAATTAAGCCCTTGGGTCAAAATTTTGCCTTGACCAAGGGGACAGTGACCTACTTTCTTGTCCTTTGTTGTACAGCAATGAAATTTTGACCATGTGCACAGTTTTAGTTGAAAAATTGAACTTTGATATCAGGTGACCTAGATTTTGATAATGTGACCTACTTTCTTGTGCTTTGATCTACAGCTATGAAATTTGAACCATGTGCACAGATTAAGATGTAATGTGGACTTTGATATCAGCTTACCTAGATTTTGACAAAGTGTCTTACTGTGTTGTCCTTTGATGTAGTCATAAATTAGGCTGCGTGAAATATGACCTTCACCACCAAATTCACTAGACTCAAGTGCATTGATATATTCCTGCTCTGATCTTTTATTTGATTAACAATAGATTTAATCACTAATCTGATAATAAGAATTAGATAGGTCAGGGATCTATGCATTATGACAATCTTCAATTGTATAGAAACAAAAAAAATATGTTCCTACACTACTATTTAGTGTTGTATTAATGCGGTGGCATAGCATTTTTCTCAAATGCAATCTTGTTTATTATTTTAAATAAAAGCTACAGATAAAAAAACATCATATTTTGTCCGGTAATATGTAGGATCCCAGTACATTATTGACTATTCATCTATTGTCAGCAATCTGGTGAATCAGTGATTTACTAGATGCAGGATCCTGCATCAGTATACCCCAGGAAATGCCTACTGGGCATGCCAGTTCTTTACATCATGCATCCAACTTGATCCAAGTGGATGCAGAAAAACAGGCTACTTTATAACTGTCTTTTTACATGAATATATTATTGGAATGAAAAAAGAGATAAAATTTAACTTATACTCAATAATCTATTATTAACTGTTAACAAGACCATATAATTAGTTAGTTTGAGAAATGGTCCTAGTCAATGTCAATTATTTATTAATAAATGTCAAAGGTCATACATATCTTAAAATCGAAGTGTTGTACATGTATTTAGATGCTGCAAAACAAAAAATTGAGAAAACTTTGTCATTTGTTTATTTCTGAATAAGACAATGTTTAGTAATTGCTCCTCCTCCCCTAGTAAGGTTGGAAAATTAACCTCATCATGTGTAAATTTATACATGTATAAGACTGTAAGGTAGCAGTTACAACTATGACTAATTATTTTATTACAGGTAGAAAGTTATATTTCAACAAGAGCCAGGGTTTGAGGATGGCAACTCAGTGTTTGACCAGAATGCTGTCAGCCAAACTTTACAAGGATGGAAATCTTCCTGAAGTTCTGCACAAATCAACCAACTTCTTATGTATAAGCAAAGGTTATGATATAAAAATTAACTATGATGACCCTACTGAGTTAACAGTAGAACATCAACTGAGAAAAATGTTTCCAGAGCTTGTTGATCCCTCAGTAGCTCATAGCTTCAGGTAAATTCCATAACATTTTGTTATTACTTTAAGGAAATATTTATTAGGAATATACAATATACTCAATATATATAAATCATTTAAGGTCAGTTTTGAGGAAAGTTTACTTAGGAAATAGATATCAATTCTGAGTTCATTGTTGTAGAATAAAGCACGGTTTGAGTTCAAATGCGTAGTAATATAATCACGAAGGCCGATAGACCTGAGTGATTAATTACAAAGCATTTGAACGAAAAACGTGCATTATTATAAAATAATGCACAAAGAATTAATATCTATTTCCATTCTACACATCAAGAAAAATATAATTATTATTCTATAGTTTATGTTTGGTGGTTAAATTTGTTTTCGCCAAAGAGTTTCAAATAAAAACATTCTTTAAAGGCTGTTACAGTCGGTTGAAAAAAACTGTTGTTAAATCTACCGTGTGTAGAAACATTAAGAGAATAACGAGTTTTGAAAACATTGATAAAACTTTGTTTGTTTATTTTATTTCACTCCATAATTTTACAAGCGAAATACAAAATATTAAAAGTGAAATAAATGTAAAACTTAACTCGTTTGCAACATTAAAATGGCGTACTTGATTTGATTGTTTTGCACATGCTGTTTGGCGCTACATTGTGATGTCATGTAAACAACACTTTAAACGTCTGTACAGCGTTAATGACTGAATTAAAGATATTGGTGTTCGGATTCATGTTCTTAGTTAGACCATTTTCTTTCATTCTAGAAAGTTTTCACAACAAAATTCGACAAAAAATTGTTTTTTATTTATCAGGTTTTTCAAACAAAATGTCGCCCTCAATGTGAAAATACACAGGGAGATAACTAAAAATGGTGAGTGCATTGTTGTAGAATAATGCACGCTTTTGGCCTTCTTTGTTTATATAGAAAAATTTCCGATAGTGTTAGAATTTTGTAATATGTCACCTAGGTCTGGGGTTATCAAAAACTTATCTCAACTTAAACTCTGATCTCTGGATTATGGTTGGTCAGATAACATCACAGAATGTACACTGGCCAATAAAAATCCTCAGATTTGAGACAGAAGTCGAAAACAACACTTCATAACCTTCATGGGGTCAGTACAGGTTAGTCAAAAAAACAGACTTTTGAGTAATCTAAATAATCTTTTATCTTTTGTTTAAATTCTGATTAACTAACCTACATGGTCCCACCAGAGATATAGAATTTTTTCATCTATCCAGCAAGCATAAGGAATGTTGGTGGTTCTTGTGTGCCTGTTTGTGTCTGATGTTATGTGTGACGAGATTATTGAGGTCTGCCATAATAAGAGCTAGGAAGTTATCACATTGTACATTATTGGTGTCTTAAAACCAAATAGTAATAGTTTGTTTAAATTGAATTTGGTATAGAAATTAATATGTGATTAAGTTGTAAATATAATTATATACATGTTTATATTACATGTATGTAAATGCTGTAATTGTGTTGTTTTATTGAAATATGTCTACTCTGTAGAACGCATAATTGTTGATATATTATTGTTATAAAGGTATGTTCATCGTCTAGATTTTGCTACAAGTGGAATATTGTGTCTGGCTTTGAACAGAAATGCAGCAAAACATTTGTCTCACCAGTTCAAGAATAAACAAGTGCTGAAATATTACCTTGCTCTTGTAAGTTGATAAAGAAATACATGTAATGCAAAGTAAACATTCTTATCCATTTGATACAAAATCAGTTAAGTTTAATATTCAACAGTTCATTTTATTGCCTCCTTTTTCAAAAGTTTTAACATTGTCATTAAATAATTACAAATTAAATATCATTTAACACTGCTATCTATTTAATTAGGAAATTAATATCAAATTTGACTGCATTTGTTGTAGAATAATGCATGGTGAGAGTTCAAATGCGTAGGAATATAATCAGGAAGGTGGATAAAAAGCAAAGCATTTGAATGATAAACCTTGCATTATTATACTATAATATTAATATCTATTTCCATACTAACATGCTAATTATAATAAATAGAGAATTGATAAAATATGTTGAACTACATTTAGCGTAGAAGTACAATATAATTTTCCTGACATTATTTGGATTTTTGACATCATATCTGACATCATATGATTATATCTTGTAATAATGCACTTGATTTTCCTCTCTGTTTAATAGAGAATAGAGTGAAGCATGTTAGAATGTTGAATATGCAGTGGCCTGTATGATTATATGGTGTAAGGTACATGAAAACAAAATATGATTTTAATTTAAGTGCCTTTATACATAGAAAACTGTTCTATTTACAGGCAGATATTTATACAATGTATTAACTTGTAAAACTGTAGAATATAACTGTTTCTACCAGACAACATTGTGCATTGTTAGCATCTTTCTATTCTAATTTATAATATTGTAGAAAATGAATATTGCTATCATAGAACAGACTGAAATGTAACTTTGTTACTGATGTTAACACAATTTTATATATGTGAATGATATTGTACAGGTGAGGGGTCATGTAGAAGATGATATTGTATTTATTGATGTACCAACTGGTGATTTAGAGGACAAAGAATGGCCAGGAAGGAGGTGTGTATCTAGTCACCCAGCTTGTAAAGATCCAAAGATTACACACACACTAGTGATTGCACTAGAGAAAGGTCTATTTGATGGTTCACCAGCAACAAAAGTTGTTCTTAAACCAATTACAGGTATGTCACAAATAGTTTACAAATGCTTTATACATGTATATTAGACTAGTCTCATCACTTAATTACTTAGTATTTAACCCTGACAGGGTTTGAACCCCAATGACTAGTGATCATTAGATTACTAGTTTGACACATTAACCATGTGGCCATGCTGCCAAGTCGTTGTTTCCTTGATCAGGAAACTTTACACTCATTGTTCATTTCTTGTTGGTTCCATGAACGGGTTCAAAAGTGTGTCTTTAAGCTTCCTATGCAAGCAAACTAAAACAATTCTGTATAAACCAATGATTTAATACATAATTGGGTGGTCATTGTAAAACTGATGTACTTCATGACACATTGTTTGATTATCAACCCTTGAATTTGTGTAATGGATTTGCCCTGCTTTTAATTTGGAATTGTCTATTTGAAGTATTAGGGATTTCAGAATCAAAATAAAATGATTAGGCTACCAACAGGTTAGTGCCAGGTCCAGTCCGACTTCTTGCATGTGCAGGCTAGCCTGGCACTATATACATGTGTCAAAGTCTAATCACTTTTGGTTCCAGCAGGTAGAGTAAATTACCCTCAACAATTATTGTATAGATCATATTAAAAAAGACATAACAAATTTTACATGTAAAGTTAAACTTTTGAAATGAAACTTTGTGTTAAACATTGATTTATAAATGTATTTTAGCCTAAACATTTCCTTTGTCAACTTTTATATTATTGACAAGCGTAATTACCTGTAAGGCATTAGGAACAAAGTATGTGTTAATTAAATGTGTAATACTCATGAATGAAGCAGGACAAATTTGTGGTGTAAGCTCTTGTTTCATGCTATGATAGTAGCTCAAGTAAGCTTGGAGATATTTTGTATAAAAATATATTGATGTGAATTATAAAAAAGCATTATAATGTTATGCTTCACATTTGATGTTTTCTTTTAAATGATATTGTTCCAAGTTCTACATTGATGGTAAAGTGTTGATATTAAAGTGACATTATGCCCATCTAAAGGTATATAGCGAGTGAACAGGTGAGCGTCAAAATAAATTTTCATTTTGCCATAATTCCTTCTGATTCAATAATTTACTTCGCATAAACAATAAATGACCACCGGATTCAAACAAATTTCAGTAAATATCATTGAGAATTTACCTGTAACGTTCAATTTATAAAAAGAGTGGGGCAGTCTTTATATTTAATGCAGATTTTAGATTTTATCCTAAACATTTTCCAGTATAATCTGTTCATCAAACATCATGTAATTAGCAGTTAATCTTTTGAAATATAAAGTCAATTTAGCTCAACTTGACAATGAAAAATATGAGTATAGATGTCACTGTAAACTAATTCTGGCTGTATGTTCTGCTGATTATAATACGTCAATCTTCTTAAAATTAA